AGCCATAGCCTTCACTCCACCCCATATCCCTCATTTACACTGGATGGAACTATTTGCAGATTCTGGGAAGCCTCTTTCTCAACCCTCGGCGAGTTGGCACGTGCTGTTCTTTGTCCGGAGTTTTTGATTTCTACCCCTTTGTCTCCTGTGCTTGTGTGTGTGGTCATGCGTGAACACACACACATACACACACACACACATCGCTTTCCACCAGTGCCAAGGAGTGCTATAAGGCAACATGATACTTTTCTGCTTTCATAGTGAGAGAGACTTTTCACACCTAGTATCAGGCACAAAGAGCCCTGGTGGCACAGTGGCTAAGCACTCAGCTGCTAACCTAAATGTTGGTGGTTTGAATCTACCAGTTGTTCCATGGAAGAAAGATGTGGCCTTCTGCTTCTGTCAAGACTTAACAGCCTTGGAAACCTTATGGGCAAGTTGTACTCTGTTCTATAGGGTCTCTCTAAGTTGGAATCAACTTGACAGCATCAGGTTTGTTTTTATCAGGCACAGATAATCTCTGTAGCCAATAATATTAGTGGCAAGAACATTTTGTGACACTAACTCCTTCCCATCCAGGAAATGTCTTCTTACTTAGTCTCCTCCAGTGTGTCTGATTTGACCCCAAGGGACTTACAGTAACTGCTTTTCTTGCTTGGTTGGAACTGTCTGCTAACTTCTTCTACAAGGCTATTAGCCTCAGCCATGATCACCTGTAATGCATCTTTGTCTACTCATTGTTCTTCCTGCTTCTGCCCTTGCCTCTTTACAGTCTGTTCCTCACACAGCAGCCTGCATGACTCTGTTAAAATTTAAGTCAGACAAGGTTCTTGCTCTGCTCAAATCCTCTGATACCTTCCCACTCTCTCAAGGGAAAGGTCCATATGATGGAGCTTACAAGACCCTAAAGATCTTCCCTTCCCTCTGCCTCCCTAGCCCCATCTCTTTCCCTACCTTTTCCCCTTGTTCCCCCTGCACCACCCACATAGGCCTTCATCGAACATGGCAGCCATCCTGCTGCCACAGGGCCTTTGCATTTGCTGCCTTTATCATGAAATGTTCATCCTCCAGATACCCAAATGACTCACTCCCTGGTCTTCTCAAATCTTTACAGAAATACCACCTTTTCAGTGAGGTCTTCCTGACAACCTTCTCCCCCTAACACTTCCTTCTCACCTCCATTGCCACCAGGACTGCCTATCATCTTTACCATAGCACTTATCACCATCTGACATACAGTATATTTTACTTATGCATTTGTTTCTTGTCTGTTCCTTCTAGTAGTTTGTAAATTCTATGAAAATTGATATTTTTGTTTATTTTGTTCACTGTTGTGTCTCTTGTGCTGGCACATAGTTGCTCAGTAGATATCTGCTGGATGAATGAATGAATGAAAGCACAGTGCCAGGGATGTGTAATGTTTGTGAATGAGTGCTAAATGGGTGAATTCTTAAAATTTTGTAGGTTAAAAAAAATTCATCATTTTCCTCCAAAATATCTGGAAAATGTGTAAGTTACTGCACATATCTTTTCAGATTATCTTCTCAGTAAGAGATAGACAAATTTGGTTTTCCTTTCAATGTCTATTCCAGTTAGAATCTCATTTTGTTACATCTTGAAGCATCTTACAGGCATACCTTGGAGATATCGCAGGTTCGTTTTCAGACCACAGCAATCAAGTGAATATCACAATAAAGCAAGCCACACAAATTTTTTAGTTTCCCAGTGTATGTAAAAGTTACATTTACGCTAAACTGTAGTCTGTTAATCACAGTAGGACAAACTGACAGTAGTCTCTTAAGTGTGTGGTTAGCATTAAGAGAGTTTGAAATATTCTGAAAATTACCAAAATTTGATACAGAGATATGAAGTGATCACATGCTGTTGGAAACATGGCACCAATAGATTTTCTCAAAGCAGGGTTGCCAGAAATCTTTAGTATATAAAAAGTACAGTATCTGTGAGGCACCTAAAACAAGGTATTCCTTTATATGTGTCACTAGAAGTCCTGATTATTCTCAGCTATCAAGACATCAAACAAGGTCAGCATGTTTTTGAAGTGTAGGCTTCTACATGACCCAAGTGGTCAGCATGGGAGCTCTGGCTCCTAGCACACAAATGAATGAAATTGTCTTTAGTCATTTCAGTGTGTTTCTTTTTCTTACATGCTTTGCTGCCAAATTGAGAATCACTGCTGAGTGCCTAGGAGTGCAATTGTGAGGGGGCTCCTATTGCACAAAACGAATGCACTGATTCTTGAAGCCAACTAATCCCTCCTAAGAAGCCACTGAGTCCCCGAGGTCAACAGAGCCACAGGTTTAGATGATGGTCAGCTGGGAGCATCTTTTTTTATATCTTCTCAAAGCACTTAGCTCATTGAGTCCATAAAACCAGTGTTTGTAACAAGGAGGGCAGCAAGTGCTAGAATCTCTCTTGGGCCAAGTTTAGCTCATTGAGTTTAGTGGCTTGCTCAGGAGCACAGAGTAGGTCAAGACCAGAACCCAAGGTCCAGCTCTTACCCCTTTTCCCTCTAGCATAGCAAGCTAGGTGGTTTGGAGGAAATTCATCAGCTTTTTTATTAAATCATGCTGCTTGCTTGTTCTGCGCCTGGCACTTTGTTAGGTTCTTTCCATTCAGTTTTCTCGTATCTGCTCAAAAGGTCTCTGAGTGACTCACATGGTTTGCTCTCAGACACTATCCTAAAGGTTGGCAGTTTGAACCCACCCAGCAGCACCATGGAACTAAGTGCTAAGGATCTGTTTCTGTATAACAGCCAAGAATACTGTAGAGAGCAGTTCTACTCTGTATCACATGGGGTTGTCTGGAGTTGAATTGGCTCAACAGCTATGGGTTTGGTGGTGGTGCTTTTTTTAATTTGCTCAAGAATCTTCTTTGATGAAGATAATATTTCCCAATTATTGCAGATGAAGAAACCAAGGCTCACAGCCAATGAGGGACTGAATTAGGATTTAATCCTGGGTTTTTCTAACTTCAGAGTTCAAACTCTCCCCACTATAATGCAGGAGGCATTTCTCTCAAAAGTCTGAATTGTGTCCTTTTGGGGAACGTGCTTTTTAAACTGTAAGGTGCTACACAAATAAAAGACATTATTATTGGTGTGTTCTCAATAGAGGACAATTTTTTTTTTTTTTTTTGGTATTCTTTTCTTGTTTTATTAATAAAACTGAAACCCTTCTCCTCCAAATTGCCCCAACATGTAATCAACAGAGGACGTTTTTGGCAGTGTCTGGAGACATCTTGGATTGTCAAAAGTAGGAGAAAGGGGATGTTCCTGGCATCTGGTGGGTAGAGGCCAGGGATTCTGCTGAACAGTTTGCAATGCATAGGACAACCCCTCACATCAAAGAATTGGCTGGTCCAAAATGTCAGTAGCACCAAAATCAAGCAGCATTGGTCTGATGGGACTTCACATGTGTCAGGGTGAGTGACTTGAGTTGCAGGGTTGGGAGATGAACTCTTAAATAGATTTACGGTATCCTTTGGCTTCCGTGGAGATAAAATTTTGTGATCGACAAACATTGATAGATAAACCAAAATGCTTCCAATTTCTTTCTTTTTAGTCATTTTCATTTCTTTGGAAAATCCTTCTCTTCTTTCCTACTTTAGAAGTTTTCATGATGTTTTAAACTGCACCAAAACATTCCATGAGGTTCTGTTTCTTTGTGGGTAGCATGGGAACAATGACAGTTCCCATTTCAAAGGAGAGATTCTGAGGACTAATGCATGTAAAGGACTTATAACTGGGTGTGGCATGTATTATTAGGAGATGCTCGCTTAATGTTACCATTATCATTCATATTCATGGTATAAAACCAGAAATGAATTCATCCAGTATGAAACTTCAGCCTGATGAAGATTCTCTCATTAAAAAGCAATCCCCAATCTGTAGCCTATACGACCATGAGACTATGACACCATACCACTGTCAGCCACTCAGAGGGGGATCTATGGAGGAGATCCTGGATAGAGAAGGAGAAGAATGTGGAACAAAACTCAAAATTATTTGGGGAAAAAAAGGGGGCACCAGGTTTGCTGGTCTGATAAAGCCTGGTGGAACCACTGAGACTATGGTCCCTAGCTGCCCTTCAGGTCTGGAATTAAACCCACACCTGTAGCTTCCAGCCAAGCAAAAGACAGGCATAG